CGAAAATTTCAAATTCTGTTAAGCGATACCTTAACGTTTTTAGCACAATGACGAGATGCGCCTCATCGAAGTCCCGAACGAGGACCACACCAGGAGACCCTCAGTTGGAATTGTGGCTGATGTAAGTTATTACTAGACTACGGAGTTTTTTAGCTAAATTACTACATTAATGGTAATGAAAAACATACTAATGTATTTATAAATGCAAGCCTGACCTTCAGTTTTTTTTTTATTTTTTCAGGAAAACGAGTCCTCCTCCTCATCCAACGAAGAGGACGAGAATCGTTGTGAGCGCTGCTTGAGCGCCGGGAGGTTGAGGTGTATCCAGACCGAGTTAGTTCTACTTATAAACGACACCATATTACCTATTAGGTCTCCATAAAAATCTTTAGAACCGAAAAGTCATTCCCGAAGCGCAAAACCTACATCGGCGCGAGTCCAACGATATGCCATGTGCTGAAGAAAAAGAGAGAACTGTGCTGTTTGCAGGTGGACAAGGTAGGATTTTGAGCATAGCTAAGTTATCTTTGAAATACTGAAATTTTTGTATAGTATATATGATCAAAACTAAGAAATCCAAGTCAATGTTCCAGCCCTGCCCCCACTTCCCCTACTCCGGCGCCCACAAGTACAAGTGGCAAAACTCGGCCATCATCTTGGCAGCGGATAAAGTGTCTTCTGGGATGTATAACTTGATTATACCATTGAGGTATCTAAATGATTATGATCTTGAAAAATAGCGTGATTAGGGCATACTACCGACCGGTACATGACCTTCGACCGATTGTCGTGTTGATCGAGGCGGAATATGGAGAAGTCCCAGACCCAGCTTTCCTGGATGTGATCTCATATTTTCCGGATATATACTGGACGACTGGGAGATTGTCCAGGTAAGAGAGAGAGAGAGAGAGAGAGAGAGAGAGCAAGAGAGAAAGAGGAATAGAGATGAAGACATTCCGAAATTTAGCCTCGACACTCTACTGCAAGCCGGAGTCTGCCAGTCCGAAAATGTCGTCGTAGTACGAGAAACAGCTGTAGTCGGAGAGGAACATCTCGCCGACTCAAATACCATCATCACGGTTCAGAAAATACATTCGTAAGTGAATCAGCTTGCCTTCCTAGAATCACAAGGGATTACGAAGCTCAAGTAAAAGTTTAAAATAAAGTCCTTGAAAATTCTTTTCCAAACGGGAAAAATTAAAATAAACCAGGGTTGAAAAGCCGCTTCGCGACTTTTCAACCCTGGCCCCGTCTTGGACCGCATGCTGTTCTACGCTTTGCATAAATTTTGCTGAATTCAGATGACCAAAAAAATGAAAATGATTCGCTTCTGACCCTTTATATAGGCGACTTCCTACTTCCGGTCAATGCTAATTTTTCCTAGCGAAGAGGGTTTTACAAAAACTTAAATTTAATATCGAAAATGGCTGATTTTTATAATTCTGATATGTGGGCAGTCATCCCTAGACCATTACGCACATAATGACGTATCGTACCCACCCCTAACTTCTTCCCCTATTGAGATACGACTGGAACAACGATACGGAAGTGGATGCAAAGTGGCACACACACACGCAGACACTATTTTTTTATATTAAAAAAAATAAATTCGTAGGGCTTTGTTAGGATGCAAATTGCGCGTTCCTCAACAATCTATGCCGGATTTTCAGATGGTTCCCCGCTCTTCGGATTGTCACTGAACTCACCCACACCAGTAATATGAGATTTATGATGTTCAACCCGCACGACCCGTATTCGCTACAGCAGAGCAAGTTTGAAAAGGTTTGTCTTATCTTTCATTTCATTTTCATTAACATGCATTAAGCATTCTATGACTACAGTCTGCTTATACCATTTTATTAACAACTTCCCTCACCTCCTCAGGCTTTCAGAAAGAACGAAGACGAGGCTCCAACATGCCCTACATGTTCCGACTGCCCTTCGCCCAGGGTGGCGTATTTTCGGCGAACATGTTGGATCGATTGTTGTATCAGGTAGGCTTTAAAAAGCCTTACTGTATCTTACATGCCTTAACAATACAATAAAAATATGTTTAGTCCATCATCAAGCCCTACCTCGTAAGCTTGACCCGACTTTTCTTGGGTATCGATCAGAACCCGGGGAGTGGATACTTGGCATCGGTAAAGATAGGAACAGAGAGCCATTTTGACCAACTACTTTGTAGTTTGTAATCACGGCTGATGACTTGTGGATCAAGACCTATGGGAGGTTATACCAAAAACTGTGCTCGTCTGTGGCCGATATCCCGATTGGTATCTTCAGGACGAAGAAGATGGATGCGACAACGGTAAGTCTAACCGCAAAAAAAAAAACAGGAAAACTAAAGAGCATGTTACATACAGTACAGAGACATACAGGCGGACCAAAAAAATAGAACCGTTTGGAAGCAAATTTTTTTAGGTCTCGATCGATATCGAAGAGCGATGCCGCTCCTTGGATATTCCGAATACACATCGATTCATGAGAAACGAGGTGCAAGATATGGTCAAGAATCGGATGAAGTATTTGGATATGAGCGTGGATAATACTGGTACGTAGCTATAGAATTTTTTAGCGGTTTTGAAGCCTCAAAAAGTTTCCATCAAAATCCGCCTCTTTTGGTTGATTTCCCCTGTCAAATAAAGCTTCGGAAACTTAAAAAGGTGGCAAACTAGCAGAGATTCTTTGAGAGCTACTTGGACACTAAATGGAAGCTTTCTATTTCTAGCTCTGGAACGCTACGAGGACAAAGAAACGATGATCTCTTACGTCTTGATCAACCCCTCTCAAGACTTGGTGCTCGAGGCAGGGGATATTGTGTAAGTGCCATTATTTTACAGTAGTTCAACCTATTTTTCTACTTGTTCATAAATAACAATTCTATTTCAGTTATGTAATCCGAAGCCCAATAAGTGAAAACGCTCGGAATAAGAAGGTAAACCCGAGACGGGGCTTGAGAAGGTCCCGGCAAGTCACCGAAGCCAGTGAACCACCACCGGGCTATGGATCGAATCAACAGATGCCGAGGATTGTGTAAGTAATTTTCGATAATTATATAGCTATTATTTGACATACAAAATGCTTGACGTAAAACGTTTTAGAGAATTGAGCGATTTCGACCTTACGGAATCTGGGATGGTAATGAAGAGTTGAAAATTCCCTGATTTACCCTAAATGACTTCACTAACTTTTATTAAATAATTTGTTAAAAAACAGAAACCTTTATAAAAAGTTACAGGCTTTTGTCGGTTTTAATTACCATAACCTAGAAAAATCGATATGCCGTGCAGTTCCAGATGCCACTCATAGGAAAAACGCGCACTAATAGACCCCAGCAAACGCATGAGTCCCGGTCCAAAAACAACACGTGACGATTTGATGAATTTATTTTGCGCCCCGCATTTGTAAATCTAATTTTTGCTAAACCAATATTTTATCAAAATGAAGATTTTAAAGCTATATCTATTTTCGCTTTTTCAGAGTTCCATAAACAACCTGTGGCCAGTGCGCCCGTTCGACACGCATCTGACAAAGCGAGAACGAATTCGGATGGCCGGACGCGGGTTGAGCGTTTGAGATTTGCCTAATTCGAGTTTTATATAGATTTTTACATTATATTAATTGTTCTAATTATCTATGTAAATTTTATATACTATATCTGCTATTAAGTCAACCCAGAAAATTTCCATAAGTACCTACTGCTGTAAATTTTGTATATTTGTAAATTTACAATTACGATTTCGGTATGGATTCGTAGTTTCTAGTCTAGCTTCAGCTATTTTCTAGTCATTTTCCAAGCCAAAATATACCAAAATCAAAGCAACCCTCTGCGGCTAAATACTGGTACCCTGACCTCACTTTTGCAATTTTACAAATGTTGGTTTTGCATTTTTATTTTTCTTGATGATTTTTCTTGTTGTTTTTTTCTGGTGATATGCTATTTCTGCTCTGCCAAAGCCCAAATAAAACCAAATACTTTATCATCATCGCGTCGTTGCGCGGCTACACAACACACCGGCTATACACACAAAGAAAAAGCAGTAAACAAATTAGCATAAAACGTAAAAAATACAACATACGGTACCCGAAGTGTAATAAAGGGAAAACGGGGGCAGGGATTCAGGGGAGGGGAAGTAAATTTTTCTTGCAATTTAAATTACAGTTGTTCTATATGCAAATTAGGAAAGTTCTGTCGATTTTAAAGTGATGGTGACAGCTAGTTTTTCACCTAAATTTGCATAAATCTGTTTGGAAATATGCTAATTAGGGAATTATACGAGTTTAAAGGGTCCGTGACAGCTAGATTTTGCCAGAAAATTAGCACAAGCCGTTGAAAATTAGAAAAAAATCACTGGGCTAAATTCTGGAATCGGGGACTTAAAATACCGTAACCGGGAATAATATGAGAAATTGGAGCACCGGGAGACAAGAATACAAGATGCAAAAATACAGAAAAACACAAATTCGAGAAGATTTTTAAAGCGACACCTCGAGAAAGCATTCAAATGTTGTGCCCGTATCGGGTAAAAAAACCGAAAATGACAAATACAAGAGTACAGTAAGAAAAATATTTACAAGAATTGCACCGGGGGGCTGACGCGCAAAATCGCAGGGTTACGGGACTGTACAAATAACGAAAAAGAACGAAAAAACACGTCGAAAAATGCAAATTTCACTAACAGTTAACCCGCCGAGCCGACCCGAGGGGTGGTTGGGAGCAGAAAAAATATATAGAAAAACTGGGCTGCGAGAGACTGGGTATACGGTAATACGGGGATATGGTAGTAATACGGTAACTTTAGTGCCTAATAGGAGAATGGCAGGGGTAGATCATTACGAATCCGTTACGATATGTAATTAAGGAGCCTTCTGGTGTTGCCGGATTTCAGGCTGCGGTGGCTTAAATGGCTTTGGAAACTTCAAAAGCTTAGGTGGCTTAAGAAGCTTCGGTGATTTCAGAAGCTTGAAAACCGGTCGACTTCGGGAGCTTCGAAAGCTTAAGCCGCTTCCAAGTCCAAGTCCTTGTTGATCGCCGCAGCATATCTTGTCAACGTGTTGTCGGAGCCGTTGGAGCTTTGCGAGCGCTGGGACTGCGTTTCCGCTTCCGGGGACATGCCCTGAAAAAAAAAGAAATTGTAGCGTTGCAGACGCGAAACGCGGTCCCTTCGATGAAAAGTATTAATCGATAAATCTAACTTATGTAAATATTGTGCTTCAAAATTGAAGATACCGTTTCGAAACTTCAATTATCAAGGTCATCGTCCTAGAATTTTTAAAGTTAAAAACACCCAAATGCATATTTCGATATAAAACTCCAATTCCTAATTGTTATCGCCTAGCGCGTTTTGATGATATATACCGATATATGTTATAAATGATTAAAATTAGGGGATCGTTGTCTTTGATTGTTCTCCTATCTCACCTGATTGGTTGCCCACGGTTCCCGGTCCGCGCTTCCCCAAAGGGTGAAGAAAAAGACTGGCAAGATGGCGACGACGGCAGAGATCAGGAACACAATCTTCCACTGGTCCGGGGTGCCTTCACTAAAACCCGGAAATTAATCAGCATTGATGAGTTTTCAAAATAAAACTATTAGGTTGGAACTAAAGTTCGCGCAATTTATCTTTCGGCTTGTTTTGCCGCGTTATCACGCCAGCCAGCCTCCTGTTGTAAACATCCCCTGTTGACGGCAAGTGTTCACTACTAACCCTGAAAACCTCAAATGAATCCTACCTATATTCTTTTTCTACTGGCATTTTCTTTCTGCGCACCCGCTGAGCTACCCCCGGGACATCTCAAACACGTCTGTCTTTTCTACTTCATAAAAGATGTAAATGCCCCGATGGCTCATGAGGATATCAATAAGATCTATGGCCCGGATACGCTTTCTCTGACTACGGTGTACAAATGGTACAAACGGTTCAAAAGTGGGGACTATAGCCTCGAAGAAGAACCAAGGTCTGGACGCCCGGGCGAGGTCGATGAAAATGCCCTCCGCGATTTATTGAGAAGAGATAATAAAATGACGACCCGTGAATTAGGCGACGCACTTGGGTGCACACATACGTCAATCATTAGACATCTTCATTCGCTTGGCTATGTGAGCAAATTTGGGCAATGGGTACCGCACTTACTGACCGACCCCCAGATGTGGCAGCGACTTTCGATTGCATTCGCTCTTCTGTCGCGCTACCAGCACAAATCTTTTCTGCCTCATATTGTGACAGGCGATGAAAAATGGGTGCTATATATAAATTATCATCGCCATAAACAATGGGTTCAGAAGGGAGAAACCGCCCAACAAGAACCGAAGCCCGAACTCAACCCAAAGAAGATAATGCTCTGTATTTGGTGGGATATCGAAGGCCCGCTCTATTGGGAACTACTGGATCCTGGAACCACTGTCAATGCCCAACTTTACTCAAGCCAGCTCGAAAAACTGGCCACTGAAATCGAAAGAAAACGCCCGACAAAGGGGAAGATCATTTTGCTTCATGACAACGCCCGTCCACATGTTGCGAAATTGACCCAGGAGAAAATCAAGGAGCTTGGCTGGGAAGTTCTACCCCATCCACCTTATAGCCCTGACCTAGCACCAAGCGACTACCACTTATTCCGAAAGCTTGCTGCAGAATTAGTGGATGAAATTTTCACTGACAAAAAAGATCTCGAAAATTGGCTAACTGACTTCTTCGAACGCCAGCGAAAAAACTTCTGGGAGACCGGAATTCGAACTTTGCCTGAACGTTGGCGCCAAGTGGTCCTCCATGATGGAAAATACTTTGAATGAATAAATGGCTTTGTCTTTGAAATATTCAAGGTCGAAAAATTGCGCGAACTTTAGTTCCAACCTAATAATTTATTCGACCCATAAACTCAAAAATGCGATTTTAAGGTACGCATCGCTCCGTATTTGTAAGCGCAAAAAAGACCTACGTTAAAATAAAGTTGCTGAGCAGCTTATTCCCAATCGAGAACATGGCCACAACACCGAACGAGATTCCGGTCAACACGCCAGAGTATGCGGGAGCGATTTGAACGAGGGCTGTTTGCACGCCAGGGGTGTGAAGGCCTAAAGGTTGTAATTAGCATTGTAACGTACTAGAATTCTGCTAAAATATACCCTCATCATACCAAAGTATAGAACTTACCAGCAAAACCATTAGCTAGGCAGAGGAGGACGATGCAGAAAGCAGTCGAGTGGACGAACGGGGTGGCTCCGATGCAGATACCGAGACCAAGAGAAGCTGAAAACGGGGAGCATGAGGTATATTAAAACTTAAATACGCCAGTTGCGTTGAGAAGCAAGAGAAGAGGGAGAGTGAGAGGGTGAGCCAGAGTATGTGCAAGAGAGTGTGAGAGAGATCACTGCACTTACCGATCAAGTTGAACATCTTGCAGCTGGTCGTCTTCGAAAGAATTGGAGGCTTTCTGGCAGTGAGTACGGAAGAAAGTGAGCTCGAGAGCGTTTTTGAGATCCACAAAATCCCGATCGGCAGCGCAGCAATGAGACCCGTGAGGCCGCTCGGGAGTTGGAGAACGTCGCGGAGGTACATGGGCAGGAGCTAAAAAGGACTTAAAATTTGGTCTAATTTCTTCGCGAAATTCGATGACAGATTCAATAAACTACTTCATAAAACAACGACACTATACGATACTGTACGACATGATACGTACCACAGCGTACTACGGACCTTCCCTTAAATTTTCTGGTATGGATTCCTGGATGCGCTATTTTTTTGTTAATGTACGCAAATCATGTTACAAACCTGTAGCATGATGACGAGTGGATACTCGTGGCATACAAGAGCGAATATTCCGACGTACAGCGCGCGGCATCTGGCGATTTTGCTCCACGGCGGGCTGCCACGTTCTGTCCGTTTTCCGAGACTCTCTTCTTCGATCTTGCGGCTAATGTATTTTTGTTCGGCCTGCAAAAATGCGGTGTTAATTTGTTTAACGAATCGTTTGATTTACTTCTGAAACCAACATGTTAATGAAATCGGTAAAATTAACGTTTTTCTATTGTTTAGCTGTATTTTGCATTGTTTTTTACAGCCGTGGCTACACCAATTTTGCTCAATTGAACCCTGGTCAGCTTCCGGGTGCATACATACTAAAAGGAAAACCACTCACTGCCCATGGCTCCCGAACGCCGCGATAAGAGCGCATTTTATTGTGATGTCTGCTGCCCACCCCCAAAAAAGTGGCTAGGGCGCTAAAGAAAAATCGCACTATGACCCCCCGAAATTCTTGAGGGGGGGCATCAGCTCATTTTTTCCGAGTTTTGCTGCTAATTTGTCGCGACTTTTTACTTTTTTTAAAACACATTTGACTTAAGAGCGTCGAGACACTAACCTCAGATATACAAAACTGTTTGCTCGGCTTATCGGCCGACAGGACAAGCCAGATGACCAGGATGACACTTCCGATGCCGGCTGAAAGGTAGAAGATGGCCGTCCAGCCGCCGAACTGGCCGCGCTGCTCGCAGAGGATACCGGCTAGAGGCATGATGAGGAGCGAGCCTGAAAATGCATTAATAGGAGCTATATCTGGTGCGTAGACAGCCGCTTCGGGCTTCGTGAGCTTTCAGATTTCATAGCGTGTACGGTCGTTTTTAGTAGATTTTCTGTTTAGAAATCATTGAAACACTTAAAAACGTGTTTCAAAAGCTAGCTATAGCAGCGCTGCCTGTCGCGTAACGTGTTGCGTCGCGTTTTATGCTATAAAACTCACCAATTTGCCTTCCACCAGTCACGAATCCAATGGCGAAGGGTCTCTCCTTTGGTGGGAACCAGCGGGTGATGAGTGAAGTAGCTGATGGAAATAAGAAGGCATCTCCCATTCCGCAGACAACTCGGAAGGCAAAGACGAGCCAGACCGATGTGTGGGCCACTAAAAAAAAGAGGATTATACATACGAAAACGAGTATTACTAGTGCACTACTCTATCAACTAGCTAATTCAAATCGATGCTACGCTAAGCTCAGCACAGACGAACAGTTCAAGGAGTCCAGAAGGGCCAATAGGCGTGCCTTGCTAATAATGTAGTTAGAAAGCGTAAAGTTCGTGGAGTTGATAAGCTCGTAATTCTCACCTAGCGGAATCACAGCATTCGACACCACAATCAGCGTCAGCGCAACGCAGATGGTCCACTTGGAGTTGAGACGATCAGATAGAGTCCCGGACACCAGCATCGCCAAGGAGCCGACGTTCTGGGCAGCGAAGACGAAGCCTGGAATTCATAAATTAGCTTCAAATTTTTTAGGAAAGTTCTTTTCTTTGTAAAGAAATAAAAAATGTTTGTATCGCTTACCTTGCTCAAGTGGAGTCCAGCTCAAGAGGTTCGCCTGGGAGCAGTGCACCTTCTCGACGTCGTCGCCGGCTTCGGAGGCGCGCCTTTTTCTGAATATTCGTAATATGACTTTTAGGTTTTACGATTAGGGATTTCGTGTTTTTTAAGTTTAACAAGTTTAATTTACCTCTCCATACAAGGAGTCTCCGTAACCGATCGTCCCGTCCTCGTCCAATTTACATCCCGTTTCATTGACGCCATCTCGTCGGTGTACTCACTTTCAGAGAGGGCTGAGGTTTTCCTAAAGCACGTATCAATGATTTTTTTTATTAATAGTTTTTATAATTTTATTCTAATTACATATATTTTATAAATTTTTAGTGCTTACTACGTTTTTAATAACCTAAATAATCGAATCAATAGTTACTTACTTGACCATACACGTCATCGACACCCCAAGATTTGACGTGGAGACGGCAAGCGATACAAAGCATAAGCATAACAGGATTGCGATGAAGAACCGACTGGAGGGGAAGATTTTGTGCTTGCCTTTTTCTAAAAATAATGATATAGCCTGTTATTTTTTTTATTTATTATCCTATCATTTTTTAAGTTATACCGAATTAGGAAAATCTTAGCCAAAAAAATGTTACCCACCTGACGGACCCGTATCCAAGCCTTTTTCATGGTTCTCTGTGGCGATTTTGACCATACCTAGAAAAATAGTTTGAAAAATGGTTGAATAATAAAATTCAAGGTTTTTTGTATATCAGAAACCTTTTGCGACACGTTCAAGGGAACGACAAGGTAAGCAACAAGCAAAGAAATTTTCGAAGTTACAAATTTCAATTTTTCGGGTTTTAGGGTATTTAGGTATTTCCTTGAGGCGCCTCGCGCTATGAATCTGGCTTTAATGCAGGGTACGCGGCAATATATTGGACTTAATAAGGTATTATGCCCGAAAAATCAAGTCAAGGGAACTGGAGAAAAATAGCAAAGGTTCAAAAATTTCGATTTTCCCCGTTGTTTTTTAATGTTTTAAGCGTTCCCTTAATGCGTTTTTCCTTAGGAATGTTAGCTGCAATCTAGCTTTTTTTGCAATATGCAATTTTTGTATTCAGCAAAGCAAAAGCCCGAAAAATCAGAAGTCCACCCGGCCCGGGTCCAAATGAGGGCCGACGCGCGTCTGAAGGTCTGTCTACTCGTGTCGTAATCCTTTGCTCAAATATTAGCGCCTAGCCCGAGGGCCCCCCTGGGCCCTCAGGGACCCTAAAAAACCCAAAGAAAGAGGGGGAAATAGATGGGAAAGAGACTGAGAAGAAGCTAGAAAACTTGTTTGTGGGCTCTCCAAGTGATTACCGGAAACGGGCGCTGAAAGTTGGTAGCTGAGATGGTAAGCTGGTCGCTTACCAAACAAGCTGAGGAGACTATGCCTCGCACTCGAGATTTACACGTTCAACGTGAACGGATGGTAAATAGGGCTTTAGGGGGAAGTTTAAAGAGGAAACAGAGGAAATATATAGATAGAAAAGTGTGCTAGAGCGGTGAAGTTGCGAAAAATAAGGTAGTTTTATCAAAATTTTAAATAAGTTAGAACCTAACATTAAAAACTCGAAAAGGGGGTAATTTTGGAAAATTAGCGATCAAGACGAAGTGAGAAGAGTTTTAACCGTTCCTAAAAACCTCCAAGATTTCATTTTTAAAAACGCATTTTAATTCCAAAGAATTTGTAAAAATTACATGAAAAATTCATGCTAATTTCAAGATTGACAAAACTGCAAAAAACCGCTGGATTTAGAGCATTAAAATTGTTTGGAACTTGGGCAAAAATGCTAACTAGCTAGCCAGGAAATTTTCGTTTTGAAAAATTACTAAAAAAACAAATCTGGCATTTCCATAAAAAATGACCAAAATCGCATAAAATTCAAAAATTGTGTAAAAAAAGACTATACAATTTTGACATCACGAGGACCGCCGAATTAGTATCTGATCATAACATGAGAGCGGAAATATAATAAAAAAAGACAAAGAAGCCCTCTAGCCCCATCTCACCCCCTAGAACACACCAAGGGAAAGGGGGAAAGGCGGAAAAAGCACACTGAACAATACTACTGATGTGTGCAAATATCGCTCTTGGAGGGAGGTAGAAGAGAGTAAGGAGATAGCTGTGGTTGATGTATCGATATGTACTCTACGTGTAGTCGGGAAAGTTATAAGAGTTTTGACAAGTTTGGAAGCGCTTGGTAGGCTAACTACCGTGGAAAAATCAAGAGAGAATGATTTTTGGAGCCACTAATTCCTAAAAAAATGTAAAACTGTATCAAGAATCGAATCAACATATTATCTTTCCAATTTTGAATATTTTTTTTAGGTCCCAGATTCCGATTGCAACCTTCAACTATCGCATTGCTTATTTGTGTAGGCCCTTTAGAGCTGTCAGCTTTGTTTTTTGGCTTGCAAAGGTGGACTGTGGGGAAGTCAGCAAGCAGTCTGGACGTGGAAACAGTCGGACCCTCCCTGCAGTTGGAGTTTTGGGCTTTACTTAACAAGCTCGAAAAGCTCACTTTGGTAGTTCTACATTTTATCAGACCTTGAGGTAGTGCGTCAAAAACCCAGTGGAAATTACACTAACCATGAAACTTCTCGTAGATGAAATGGCGTAATGTATCCGGGAGATTCGGGAGGTGCATTTTCCCGAGGTTATTCATCTTCAGAATTCTTGGTTCAGATGACTTTATCAAGTCGCTGTGGTTCTTCACAATGAGCTTTAGATGTAGCTTGGAAAGCTTGAAAACCTGGAGCAATTTCCTGAGCAGCTTAGCTTCAGAAATTTCCGGTTTCTGTAGAAAATCAGCTTCAGGATCAGCCTAGGAAGCTTGTAGATTGAAGCGCTTCGACTTGAATAGCTTCAGAAGCTCGGCAAATTCCGTCTCCGGAATTTGAATCAAAATTGAGCTCGAGCCTTAATAAGGCAGAATTTAAACTGATCGAACTTCAGAAATTTCAAGAAAATCGACGTCGACGTATAATTCCGGGTACAGAATTTCAATAATGCTGAGCACGAGCTTAGCTTAGAATAATGACTTAGCGAGCTTCAGGATTCTTAGGAAAACTGCAGTAGAAGCAGAATTTCGAGTACAGAATTGAATAGAACTGAGCCCGAACTGGAAATTTGAATAAAATTGAGCTCGAGCTTCGACAGTGCAGAATCTGCGCTTCTTCACTTTAGTATTCTCCGTACTCGTGCTCAAAAAGCATGTGTGCTTACACAGCCCCCGCTGCCAGAATACACACTCAAATATGGCGCTATCAGCCGATTCCGAGCCGTTGGGGGACAAAGAAGACGGCAAGCAGGGGCCGGGCTTGCACCCCATTTTTCAGACAGTTTTTTTCTGCTCTCTATCTCGTGCTCTCTAGTATTTTCCGTATCTCTCGCTGCTTTGGCCTTTTTAGGGGCTTCCGCAGGATGATCACATAAATCTTATCGGCACCGTCAGCCCACTACTTGGGAATGAGTTTGGGAAACCCCCCTTTTTGGGGAGCAGCAGGGTTCATTCATATCGCTCGTGCAACGGTATTGCTCATCTGGTTTTTGTGGTAAGGAAATTTGAATCAGGACGCCTCATGTTAGTGCTATTGCTCTGGTTACCGTCAGATGCGTCAGACAAAATCACGGATTTTTCTCTATGCTGAGATATCGAAAAATCGCAATTAAAAGTACTCAAGTTCTCGACTTTTGTCGTCAGTCTATGAATTTTGTAAGTAAGTAGTAGTGGTAATAGTAAGTAACTGTTTCGAGTACGAGTTCAACATCCCAATTAAAGAGTAAAATTGTAAAAATAGATAAAACAAGGCCGCTCAGCTCTATGAATAAATTTAATATAGGTATATCTCGCTAAGGCACTGTTAAAATAGGTAATAATAGCAAAAAGACCCTGTTAAAACCACGGCAAATTGATCAAAAATGTGCAACTATGTTGAAAAGGTTCCGACACCTTGATGAGTCTCAGACGGTTCAAACGGTGACCTTTAAAAATCACCCTTATATACCAGACTCCCCTCTTGTCGGCCGAGTGTTGGACCCGGTCCAAAAAAATGTAAATAGGCATTGACGGCTGGAGCCCGGGTGTGACCAATTTTTTAACGAATCCTCCTCAGAGCGCAAGACCACTCTATTTACTAAAATTTCGCTGGCCCTGACCCTGACAATAGTTTCTGCGCGTAGCCGCCCAAATTTCTCAATTTTTCTCCTTGTTTCAGCCCGGGAAAATAGAATAGATTGGCGGGGAGAATGGTCACGTACCCTGGCCGGGGTCCCGGGGTCCTTGTCCACTCACTGGGACCCGGGAAAAACTTCTCTGTTTAGGGCTCAGGCTAGCGTGTGGCCCCCAGTCTCTAGGGAAGGACAAATAGAAAATAAACAGAAGGTGGTACTGTCCAGGTGATAGTCGGCGAGAAGTGCCAACTTGTGCGCCTTTGTTAGGTTTTTTAGCTAGGTAAGAAAAGGCGCTGCCTATTCTGTTTGTTGCTATTTCGGGAGCAAGGCACTGAACTTTGGGCTTGGATCGGCAGGGTAAAGAAATTGCTTTAAAGACTGTTAATTAATTTTAAAAAGCGCTTTAAGGGGAGCCGCAACCAAAATATATAGAAAGATACTGGCAAACTCTAAATCTTTTCTAATTCCTTTTGATCTCAAATCTACCACAAATATTTTTTGAAAGTCGAAAATTAATGAAAAACAACTTTTTTGATGCTCAAATCCGAAAAATACGTTTAAAAAATGAGCCGCTACCTGGGAAAATTGGAAATTTCGCAAGTAGTGCTTGATAGTATATATGGTTTGGAGGCGTAGTATTAAGCAAAGCACGAATGAAAAATTTGCATAAAAAGAGGTTAGATTCAAGAAGCTGATGGTACGGTAGTACCAGGGCGGAAATTCACTACGTGACACCGTCCCTTTAAATCCACCCCTCGATCCGGTTAATGTAATAACTATTAACTACTGTAGCTCTGGCCATCCCAAGGTAAGAAACAGGTTTCAGAACTACCGTTGTACTAAAAATATACTGTAAAAACCGCGCTTAAGATGGAGTTACTGTCGTAATTAGCAGTATAATGAGGATTAGACAACCTAATAATGCATAAAAGTATCTAATAATTAATAAATAGTGTATAAAATCATTTAATAGCTATTAACCAATGTTTTAAAATACTTAATACATTATAAAGACCAGCGCGGTACTTCTAAGAGTTTCTCTAATTCAAAACCATGGCAAAACATGCATGGAATAGGCATACAGTCCCTACTAGACACTGGGAACGCCCCGGATTCCCATCCCTTAAAGCAGGATCGAAAAGTGGTAGCTGAACATTTCGCCCAGACCAGAACAGACAAGACAAGACAAGCCCACGCCCTCCCTCAACCTTGTGCTTTATATCTGCTGTTATTTTGGGCTCCATTTCCGCCTCCAGCCCCCGGATCGAGAATCTGGTTTGGTGCGCTTCTCAATAAATTCCGTGGAGCCTGGGACGACGCCATTTTCCGCCCCCGGTAGTATGCAAACAGAGATGAGCAACAGCAGCAGGGTGCATGCTAGATGGGATGCGAATACACACGCGACACGGGGGAGGAGGAGGAGGGCAATTGGGGACCGGGAAAGGTATGCATTGGGTTTAAGACGGTTGTGATACCTTTTGTGAGTTATCGTTAATGGTAAGACTTTTAAAGAAACCTGGAAGGCAAAAATCAACTGATTCCACTAGGATTCAGTATTTTTTCCTCTTAAGCATTTTAAAAGAACTAGAAAAGCAAAAATTAGTGGCTTTCTTTTCCTAATCCGTGCGAAATACCGATTCAAGATTTTTCCATATAAATTTGTACCTTTAAAATGTTTAGTATACGAAGAGTTACAATTACCTAGTATACTATTTCAAGTAATTTCAAATGTTGAATTTGTAAGATTTGCATTCTGGTAGAAACTTTAGACGAATTAATCCAATTTTTAAAAAATCGAGGGGCGACATTCAAAGCGAAATGAGAAAAATCTCCATGAAAAACTCGCGAGAAGAACACACTTAACAGGGCAGATTTTAGGAAATATCGCCTGCGGGGCATCCCAACCTTGAGTGGTGAGAACTTCCTCCCCCTCAGGCGAGGAGAACAAAGCTTGTTTTAGCTCCTTTTAGGGCTGGGAACACCTTCTAGGGGCGAGCGTATGAATCACCACTATCTTCCATGAAAAATGGACAGTGGTTTGGAATGATTGGAAGGAGTTGCGTGACGTAGCGAGTGACCTGCTTGAGGCTACGCCGTATTTGTGGAGTTTAGGGTGCTGTAGGCTTACAAAAAAATCCGGTATTTTTCAAATTTTTCTAGACCTAACAACTGCCATAATTAATATTGTAATTAATGGAGCAAATAAGTATGTTTATTCAAATTGATCCACAGTAAACTTCAGTCCAAAAATAAATTTTCTCAAGCAAAACTTTTCCATCTGTTTACTCCGTACGCCCGCTGCGTCGCCAGCCCTATTCAATACCACTGCGTGGGTTCAAAAAGCGGCAAATATTTTGAGAAAGGGACCCAAGTGCGGTGCCCGTTAAACTTTAAAAGTATGGTTCTAGAAAATTAAGAAAAAAAAAGTTAAAATTCAATTCAGATCCGGGAAAAAAATGTTAAAAACAGATGTTGAAGGCCCGACTTCGTGCTTTATATGATGGTTTTGGTACCCGAGTTTCGGCTGATTCATGAAGAAATAGTAACCGTATTCGTAGGTGTATTGTTAGTGTGGGAATTCGATGACCCGCGGGCTTTTAACTTTTCAATGCCTCCGCCCTGACACCGGAAAATCATGAGCCATCCAACATCAGAAACGCCTGAATTCGTAGATTTATCATCACCGGAAGTCCACAATGTCGTGGCTTTTGACTAACAAGTAAGCGTCGTATTATGGGAAATGGTTTTGAAATCTTGGCGGCTACAGCGCTAACCGAAATTCGGAAAAAAGTTTACTTTCTGAGGTTGAATTCAGGCTAAAAAATTTGCTTTGTAAGTTTATGCTTACTGTAGTCTAACCCGAATATACAAGATTCGGCTCATAATTTCAGCTGTAAAAACGTTGACTAATTCAGAACCGCTGACCCCGGATGATTCCGAAAATGTCCTGTTTACACAAGCCGGGGGAGGCAGAGGAGGACGAGTAGTTGGGGAAGTGAATTAAGGGGATGATGATTAATGGGCAGCTACACATTTCCGGCATTTGGCAAAACATCGTCATTAGGTATACTACGGAAAAGTTTGTTGAGGCTACGGTAGATCTTCAAAAAGCTAAAATTTGGTCCTTTCCAATTTGCGCTCAAGACCTGACGTTTACGGTGGCAAAAAGCTCCTGGTAGTTCCAGAAATTTAAATTTATTGGAATGGAACAGGTGCTTCAAACTGTAATTAAGGGGCAGTACCGTAGTTCAAGCAAAAAGGCAGATTCATAGGATAAAGGTGGGAGAAGCTAGGCTTGGGTGCTAAATTCTGACACAGCTACCGTAACCAGGGCCGTAACAAACCCAAATTTCGGGGGGGGCGACCCCAAAAATTTTTCACTAATATGACTAAAACTACAGCGCCGCAGGCAAAATTTTTGAAAACATAAGGTTTATAACACTAAAACTAGTGTTAAAAATAGCCAAAAACAGCGCCGCAAGCAAAAAATTT